TTCAGTCCGCAGGCAGACGCTCTAGCCACTGAGCCAAACAAGTTAGGGCCCTTCCACTCTTTCTAAAAATCAATGGAAAAATATTCCTGGGTGCGGATTAACAAAAACAAAAACGCTGTGCAGTCAGAGGCCAGGTGTCGCTCAAAGGCTGCCAGGGTGAACTTCCCTATAAGCACCAAATCATGAGGAAGCTGAAGTTCAGAGACTTGCCCGAGGTTTCCCAGAATGTGTGCGAAAGTGGTGTCTCCTTCCTGGGACTCTGCCTCACAGATGGAGTGAGTCTGGGGCGGCCACCATCACACTGCAAGAAGGCAGGCACATTCAGGGAGGCTGGGCCGCCAGGCAGCCACTTAGACAAGCTCCCAAAAAAGCAGGCAGCCCCCAGGCAAGAGAAAATGTCCTCGAAGTTGAAGCGAGCCCAGCTTGCCAGGGTCAGAGGGGGCCAGAGGGAACTGCCCACTCTGAACACCTGTCACGCCCCTCAGGCTCATCTGCTCCCCCTGACCCTACTCACAGCAGAGACCAGAGCCACTGGCTGTGGGGGCAACAGACATGGACACAAGCCAAGGATTCCCACAGCTCTACCCATCATGACATAGGGAACCCAACCAGGCTGAGCCTGGCTCCCAGAGGTCTCCACTTCACCCAAGAGTCTGGCAAGTCCCCTCCCAGTTCCCTCAGCTCTGACATGGCATTGGAAAGCAGGTGGTGAGGGATAAATAAAAAACCAAACATGTCCTTTCCCCCTGACCCCTGGCTCCCCGAGAGGCCCCCGGGCTCGCAAGTCACTATGGAAGAGGTCCCAGTCTCAGAACTGGAGCCTGGTCAAGTCAAGTTCCTTCCCTAGGTAAACTGGGGAGCATGACAGTCACAGATTCCAGGAAATCGGGAGGTGGGCGTCCCTGACCAGGGTCCAGCACTTACCCATGTGGAGGGAGGTACCTGAAGGTGCACAGTCTGTTCCCACACTCCTGCATGCACAAAGCACACCAAGTCCCAGAGCAAATTCCAGAGCTCCTGACGCGCCGGCCAAAGTAAGCATGACGCCTCTGCCCAAGGACATCCAAACAAGCCCCCCAGTGTGTGGCCTTTCTCCTAGGAGGTATCAATAGCTAGCACCGTGTGCCCGCCCCAATCTCTTCTCCTTGTCCCCACCCCGCAGGGAGCACCTCCCAGAATTCAGCACTATCGCAGTATAATTTATACTGTTACTACTTAGGTACTGGTCCATAAGCAAGATACACTGTTGTGTTTGCCTGTTTTCAGTGTCCTACAAACCCTATCCTACTACCCAAGCCATTTGACAACCTGCTTTTTTTGAGATAAAGGCATAGAAATTAAATAGCTCCTTTGTGCATTTGAACTGCTGTGTCGTGTGCTTATATTTATCTATTCTCCTGCTGTCAGACATTCATGTGGACCTCACGTGTTGTTGCTGTGACCGGCCTTGTGCATGTGCCCCCGGGGCTCACGTGTGAGAGGGTATATAACAAAAGCAGGCGGCAGGTCATGGGGTTCACACATCTTCTACAAACTCTCTCTAAAGTACTTGCATTTTGTCTATGTTTTCCTCCGTATTTGGAATTGTCAGACTTTTCCATTTTTGCCATCTGGTGAGACTAAAACGGGTCACAGTGGTTTTAATTTTTTTTTTAATTTCATGGGAGATATAGTACCTCTTCAAATATTTATTGGCCATTTGGGTGTCCTCTTTGGGAAATACATCCTTTGCCAATTTTTTTTATGGGACTATTGTGTTTTTCCTCACTAATTTGTAGTTTATATTGTTTTTATATGTTGCCACAGTCTACTCACAGTTTGGAGCTTGTCTTTATGCTTCGATAATAATGTCTTATAACAAAGACTGCTTATTTTAATTCAATCAAATTTGCCAACGTTTTTTCTTGACAGTTAATGTTTTTGGGGTTTCTTTAGGAAGTCTTTTATTACCCTCAAGGTCATGAAGATATTCCCCTAAATTTTCTTTGAAAAGTTTTAAAGTTTTACTTTTCACAGGGAGATCTTCAGTTGACCTAAAACTTATTATGCACGCTGTGATCTTATTTTCTTATCTATATTATAGAGAAAATTCCCAGTATCACTGAGTTAATTTTTCTCCAGTAATTTGTAATGCCATCTCTCCCACAGATGAAACTCACAAATATGCATGGGTTTGTGTCTGGGATCTCTCTTCTCTTCTATTGGTCTATGTGACTATCCTTGCACGATATCACATTTTCTTAATTATGACTTTATAATAAATCTTGATTTCTGAAAGGTAAGTTCCCCCTTCCTTGTTTTTGAAAATTACACCAGCTATTGATGACCCTTTACTGTTACACTGGAATTTTGGGATTAGCTCTCAAGTCTACAAAAAATGTTGCTGAAATTTTGGTTAAATTTGCATTAAATTTATAAATAAATGTAGAGGCCATCTTTCTAATATTGAGTCTTCTCATCCATAGAAATAGTGTAGACTTAGGCCTTATTTTATACCTTTCTATGAAGTTTTATAATTCATCCCTTAAAGATCTTGCATCTTTTTTATTCATTTCTAAATATTTTATAGTTTTATGATTATAAATGGCACCTTTTTAAAAAATCATATGATTCTTTTTCCTACTAGACCAAGACAATGGAATTTTTTATATTAGTAATGTATTCAGAATTACATGGATTCTCTTATTTACTAGTTATAATTGAAATTCACTTGGATTTCCTCTGCAGACAGTCCTATCATTGGCATATAATGAAAATTTAATTTCCTCCTTTCCCATCTCTATACCTTTCCTATTTCTTGTTTTGCTGTGCTACCAAAGACCCATATATAGTATAATTTACAACAAAGTTGATAATACTGCTATTCATCTAATTTTTCACCATTAACTTTACTGTTTCCTGTAGATTTTTTATAGATAACCCTTTTCAGGTTCAGGAATTTCCATTCTGTTGCTTAGTGTGCTAATTTTTATCATGTATGAACACTGAATTTTGTTGAGTGACACTATTCTGCCTATAAAATGATCATACCATTTTTTAAATTTGATAATAGATTATCTAATGTTAAACCATTCTTTAAAAAAAAAGAATAGTTTGTTGGGGGTTTTTAGAGACAGAGGAAGGGAGAAGGGAGGAACTTTCAATGTGAGAGCTTAACCTCGATTGGCTGCCTCCTGCATGCCCCCCCACCCCACACACACACACACCCTGGAGATCAAACACACAACCCAAGTATGTGCCCTGACTGAGAATCAAACCCGCCACCCTTCCGGGTATGGGACGAGGCTCTAACCAACTGAGCCACACCGGCCAGGACCAAGGTTTTAATTTTGATGAAGTCACATTTATGTTCTTTCTTTGGTTGTTTGTGCTTTCAGTGTCATATCTAAGAAACCATTGCCTAATCCAAGATCATCTCCCCCATGTTTTTGAATATGCATTATATTATTATTCTGTCCCAAATATTATCTCTTTTTCATTATTTCATACTTGACCCATGAGATAATTAGATGTTTTGTTTTTCCAGTTTCAACTCTCCTCTTTTCAGAAGCCTAAGATATCAATTCTGGTCCCTCCGTTGGGCGTTAAAACCTAAACTTCCAGATTATCACAACTAACATTTGACCCCGGCTTCATTTCAGTCCACATTGTTTAATTAAAACACTGATGAGATGCTGTGGGAACTTAGCTCCTGTTTGTATCAGTCCGTGGTAAAACTGCCTTAGCATGTACCTCACCTTGCTTAAAGCTGCAGGACCTATCGATAACTTTAAATGAAGGCACTTTACTTGGCATTCTTTGTTTCTGATCCCTGGAAACCTCCCTTACTTTCTTACACGCTCACACATGTTCTTATGTCCTTAAGGGAGGGTTTTCCCATTATCCAGCCCACAGGATTCTTTAGGGTCTCTGCTCACCTCTCACAGCTTCTTGTCCCTGTGACGCTGCCCCCTGCTGCTGTTCTTGATGGCTACACTCTGGACCATTTGGACTAGGCTGTACTTGATGTTCATTTAAGCCATAGTTCACCTGTATGGACACAATGAAGATGAGGATAGGGCTGTGGAGAGGAGGGATACACCCTTACTGTGATTTTCCTGAGGTCTTGTCAAGCCTTCTCCATCCACCCACCTCCCCAACCTTCCCACTAGAATGGAAGTCAAAGTCACATAGTATAAGGTCAGAATCCCCAAATCCAAGAATGCTTCCTACCAGCTTCATTCTCTCAGCTGGTCTTTCTGGAAGGCCTGTGCCTACACAGGGTCCTGGGACTAGCATGTATTACATTCCACATGGAATTGGTAATAGGACAATTAGGATACAAATTAGAGCTGGAGGATGTGTTATTCAGGCTCCGAGACTCACACTCAAGTTATCTTAAATAATGTAAGGATAAAGCAGAAAGCGAATAATGTGAGAATTATCAGTGTTGGGGACTAGAACTGCAATCAAGATGCAAAGCAGGTCTGATGGGCAGGTTATCTGGTCACCCACTCAGCAATGGGCAGCTATTGCTGCCTTCTCTATTGCTCCCCATTAGGTTCTCCAATTATTCTGTTTCTACAGCTTTGCTGCTATTTCTTATTGTCCTTCCAATCACAGCCTCTGTTTACTTTTTCTTCACATGTTTTTGGCTTCTGCCTGACCATCCCTCCAATGACACCCCCTCTCCAAGGCCCAGGGTTCTATCACTGTGTCTCATATTCAGAATCTCCAAGAGAGAAAATGTTCTTGATGTAGTTAATCCTTGTTATCCCAGTTGGACACAGCCTTTGTGTCCAGGCATCCCTAGGCTCTGAGACAGACACGACTGTGGGTCGGTGCTATTCTGTGATCCAATGGGATAAAGTCAGGGTGATGAAGTCACACGGTTAACTTCCTTCTGAATGGGCTGTGCCTAGGGCAAGTGCTCAGGGCAAAAAGAGTTCTGTTACAAAGGAGCTCAGAACGCTCCTTCCATAAGGAAGCACAGGAGTGCAGCAGCTGGACAGACCTGGGTACAAATCCTGTCTCAGCCTTTACTACCTGCACAATCCTGGACAAGTCACCACTCCTCTTGTCCCCAGCTTCCTCATCAGCGAAAGGGAGCTGGTAGGCTTACTCCTCAGGCTACCGGGAACAGGAGAGGAAGCAGTGTGTGTGAAGTGCTTAGCAGTGTCTGGTACGTCGCCGGCACTCACCAAGAGTCTATATTAATGGGCTTTCTCTCTGCACTCTTCCTGTCTCCCATCCAGCATCGTGATGACCACCTGTTCCACCTTCATTGCCCTGGGCATGATGCCCCTCCTCCTGTATGTTTACTCCAGGGGGATCTATGATGGGGACCTGAAGGACAAGGTGCCCTATGGAGGCATTGTGTTATCACTGATCATGATTCTCATTCCTTGCACCATAGGCATCTTCCTCAATGCCAAAAGGCCACAATACGTACGCTATGTCACCAAGGTAAGAGCGTGGGGGCAGGGCAGGGAGCAAGAATGCTGCTATCCTCTCAGGGGATGGCTTGAGGCAAGTCATTTGGGTTTTTTCTGTGTTGGTTTTGTTCCTTGTTTTTTTGTGGTATGGAGTGTGTGTTTTTTTAAAGACCTACTATTAGGACACCTACATCATGAGATTGCCATGTCCCCTGAGAATACTTTCAAAAAGTTAGGAGGAAAAAGAAAAACACCACACACACTATAAGGTATTTTATACTCATTACTAGAGTATAAATCGTATGTGGGTAGGGTCCCTAGGCCTAGCCTGCGATCAGGGCCATCTTCCGCCCACTCGCCAGTCCCCAGTTCCGCCCCGCCACCACCCACCCAAGTTCCCTGTGGCTCCCCATTGGCCATCCAGCAATCGGGGCCTGCCGGTTATGGGGAGGGACCGAGAGGTGGTCAATGCACCTCAGAGTGACTGGTCGATCAGTCGTTCTGGTCATTACACAGTTATGGTCGCTGACTTTTTATTATATAGAATTTTAATAATAAAATTAAATTTTTATTATGCACCTAATTCTAATTTTTCTCCTACACTGAGGGTTCACTGTTCTCAAAGAGTTTATTGCAGAAAGTAAAATAGCACATGAGAAACAAGACCCAACACAGTGCACAATCAAGCATCAGCTGAGTGCAAGGTGAGGTTAGTGAGGGCTGGGTAGTCACAGAAGGCCTCCTGGAGGGGACAGTCTTGAGCCAGACCATGAAGAAAGGATGAGACTTGGGTAAGCCTGGGACAAGCCTGAACACAGGAATTCAGAGGGGACCGAGGGCAAACTTGGTTGACTGGTCAAGCAGCCAGAGGGGTAGAACCCAGGGGAAGAGGTGTGTTCACACTCCCAGCCATTTCAGGAGCAGGATGGGAGAAGAGGGTGTGGGGTAGCACTGTGGTCACAGACAGGGCATCATGCCACTGCCCTGTCCTTGGAAGAATCAGACTCTGGGAGGGCTACCAGGGTCCCTCTGCCAACTTTCATGACCTCAGCGCTCAGTCCCTGTCCGTCTCCCCTCAGGCTCACTGCTCATCACTTGTCCTTGGGAAGGACTCTGCCTCCAACACTCTGAGGGCCTGTTTCTGTCCTGCCCCCATTTCTGTGCCCTCGGGCCAGTCTACACAGCGTGCACCTGGAAGCCAAAGCTTAGCAGCTGCTTGAGCCCTGAGATAAAAGCTCTGTAATTCAGCCCTAGCCGGTTGGGTTCAGTGGATAGAGCATCGGCCTGTGGACTGAAAGGTCCCAGGTTTGATCCCAGCCAAGGACACATGCCTGGGTTGTGGGTTCAATCCCCAGTAAGGGGTGTGCAGGAGGCAGCTGATCAATGATTCTCTCTCCTCATTGATGTTTCTCTCTCTCTCCCTTCCTTTCTGAAATTATATATATATTATATTTTAAAGGCTGCAATTCAGGTTTTCAGGGTTATTTGATTCTCACACTATCATTGTCAAGAGTAGTTTTTGCCCTTGTCCTGACCCAGTCCTGATGCTGTGCCACAGCTCCCTTCCTGCCTGTTGAAAGACACCCTACTTCACTCTTGATATCTTCCATTCTCTCCACCCTTGCTTCTCAGAGACCTCCTTTTACTGATCATGTCCCCCACTTCCACTGCTCCCCATCTCACTCTCATCTCCAGAACATCTCTGAGTTAGTTCTTCACAATCAGCATTGACACAATGAACTGCCAAACCTTTCTACATGAATATGCCTTTAAAACTCAGTATGTCTTCAATTAAAAGCATCTCCACCGCAGGCCGGCTCCTCCCCTCCACCCCCTGTGATTACCCCAATGAACAGCATTCCTTTCAACATGCCCAACTGCCTGAGCCAGAAACTGGAAAGTTCTTCTAGTGTCCCCTCCTCCCTCCCCCTCACTCAGGCTAATCAGTGATTCCACCTGCTTTTCTAATCCATCCATTCCTCCCATCCTAATCCACTGTCTTCATTCTGGCCTCTCTCCTCTCTCACTAGACAACTGAAATAACCTTTAACCTGGCTCTCTGACCCATTCTTACACTGAGGGTGGAAAGCTCAACGTCATCATGTCACCACTGCTTAAAGGCCCTCATTGGTTCCTTACTCTCCCCCAGAATAAAGTTTAAACTCCTTACTGTGGCTCCTCAGGCCTTTTGGGATTTGGTCTCAACTGACCTCCCCAGTCTCAGCTTTTTTCTTTGCACATGTCCTTCCCTCCACCTGGACACTCCCCTCTCCAAGTCCCCCTCACTCATCACCTTTCACTGGGCTCACACCCACTCACCCTTCATGTCTCAACACAAATGGCATCTCCCCCAGGAAGTCTTCCTTAGCTCACAAGCCTGAGTAGAATTCTGGTCCTATTTACTTCCATAGCACCCAACACTGGGCCCTTGCAGCATTTATCATACTGTGCTATAAGCACCTGTGTGTTTATTCCCCTCACCTTGAGCTCCTCAAGGAGAAAGACCCCTAGCCAGTGGTTCTCAACCTTGGCTGGACATTAGAATCAGCTGGGAATCTTTTTAAAATCCTGATTTCTGGGCCTCATCCTTTGTTTCTTTGTTATGGGGTGGGGCTGTGTCTTAACACTGAATCCCAGCACCTGTCACAGTGCCCCCACAGCCCACACCTGATAATGAACAAAAGAATAAAGGGCATGTTCTGTCTCTCCCACACATTAGTAGAAAAAACAATTCAAGAAACGTGTTTGTGTTCATCATTTCATTTATCCACGATAGCTTGTTGGGGTGTAGAAATAAAGAAAAAAAATCACAGAATACAAAAATGTGGTGACCCCTGATATAATTTAATACGACTCTACCCTTCCCCCTTTATAGATGAGAAACCCAAATAATTAGACCCCTAAGTGCAATTGATATAAGAACAGATGCCTCATTTTTTACCTCTGAGTAACTTTAATCAAAAGTGTTCTGAGGGTGCAAAAAAAATCTCAGATCTTAAAGCTGTAAAATCCTTCACAATAACCTTCTACCCTGGCTCCTACTTCATTCTCATTTTATAGGTAGAGTAACTGAGGCCCAGGGACATTACTTGGCAGAGCCTAGACTATCAGTCAGTCTCCTGTTTCTGTTGTGCTGCACAACCACTGCTCAATCCCACAGGAAAAACTAAGTCAAACTAACCCCCGAGAACATTGAAAGGGCTATGATTCACCTGGAACGGAAGCACAAGGACCAGTAACAACCACATAAAACAGTGGTTCTCAACCTTGGAATTTATTAGAGTTACCTGGGAATCTTTTTAAAATCCTGATTTCTGGGCCACATCCTCCGGAAATTCTGTTTCTTTGTTACTAATGTTGTGGCCTCACCCCATAACAAAGAAACAGAATTTCCAGAGGATGAGTCCCAGAAATCAGGATTTAAAAAAGATTCCCAGGTGATTCTAATGTGCAGCCAAGGTTGAGAACCTCTGGCATAAAAGGTGATCTATATAACACAGGTGTACATTAAACCCAATTTACCGTGGCTGAACCCCAGGGTTTAACCACTAGAGGTCAGTGGCTCCATTTATCAAATACTCCCAAACAGCACTCACGCCTGTGAAGATGCAGACAAATGTGCGGTCAAAGGCAAAGGCTTGCTTTTATGGCTTCTTCATCTCCCTGTTCCATAAACTATAATGAGTGATGCGCTGAAAAATGAGCCAACAATCATCCCAGTGGCTTTGCACACTTAATCCTCCTAGAGTAGCGGTTCTCAACCTGTGGGTTGCAACCCCTTTGGGGGTCGAACGACCCTTTCACGGGGGTCGCCTAAGACCATCAGAAAACACATATATAATTACATATTTTTGTGATTAATCACTATGCTTTAATTATGTTCAATTTGTAACAATGAAAATACATCCTGCATATCAGATATTTACATTACGATTCATAACAGTAGCAAAATTACAGTTCTGAGGTAGCAACAAAAATAATTTTATGGTTGGGGGTCACCACAACATGAGGAACTGTATTAAAGGGTCACGGCATTAGGAAGGTTGAGAACCACTGTCTGAGAGATTTCCAAACGAAAGTTAACTCCTAAAAACTGGCTCTGGCAGAAGGTATTGCTCAAACTCTGTTCAACCAGTTGCATTTCCTAGTGGGAGGTCATTGATATGCCAATATACAAGTTCAGGGTCGCCCTATTTAGAAAGGCAATTCAAGTAGCACTTTGCCTTATTCATGCAAGGGTTTATTCAAGGCTGCGTGGTTAGAAGGTTGCACAACATGACCAGGAGCCAGTTTTTACCATAAGCCTTCCACCACTCTTTTAAAAAGGGTCCAGCCATTACATTGACTCAGACACTCTACCTCTGCTTTTGCCATACCTGCTGCTACTGATGAACTAACCTGACCCCTTTGGTCACATTGCTTCTGCCAATTTGTGGCTTCTGCTGCCCCCAGGCCTCTGTGTCTTTAATACTTGCATCTGCTCCTGCTTCTCTGTAATTCTGAAATCTCCCAAAAGGAGAGGATGCGACTAGTTTGTTTCATTCACCAGCATATGTAGGCCACCTCTGTGGGAATAGGTTGGGCCAGGTCATCTCCTGGGTCAAGCTGATGACATTGGCTGCCCATGAATGGACACTCATCACAGTCTCAATCACTCATGAGAAAGCAGTGCAGACAGGTGGTACAAAAACCAGGTGAAGCAGGTAGTTGTGGCCATGAGATATCCACAGATGGCAGGACTGTGACAGGAAACTTTGGGATGTGAATCTTTCCTCCTTTACCTATCTCTATATATAAAAGGCTAATATGCAAAGTGTCCCCTTGGGAGTTCAACCAGGAGACCAGGACTTTCATTGCTCGCTTTGATGTGCAGTGACCACCAGGGGGCAGTGTGGAATGAATGAAGGCCCCAGCTGGCAGCTGGAAGGAAGGCCCTGGCCGGAAGCCAGAAGGCCCTGATCAGCCCTGATCGCTGGCCAGGCCTACCTGTGCATGAATTTCATGCACTGGGCCTCTAGTCTCTATATATAGAAGGCTAATATGCAAAGTGTCCCCTCAGGAGTTCAACTGGGAGACCGAGAGTTCGATCACTCGCTATGATGTGCACTGACCAGGGGGTGGCATGGAACGAAGGAAGGTCCTGGCTGGCAGCCGGCAGCTGGATCACTGGCCAGGCCTAGGAACTCTACCCGTGCATGAAATTTCGTGCACTGGGCCTCTAATGAGTAATAGTAGGAGCTACAGTTTAGTGAATGGTTTTGATATGGCAGATCAGAGAGGTTGAGTGACTCATTGAAGTTTACACATCATGAAACCAGCTGAGGCAGTTTCCACAGCAGGATCACAGCAACGTCTAGACCAGGGGTGGGCAAACTTTTTGACT